CCATTTGGTATAGCAATTTAGAGGTAACGATTAATAGTTTTATCTAAATTGTTAAGAATAGATATTTGCTAAATTTATTTATTTTGAAACTATTATAAATTAGGCATCTAATAAAACTTTTTATTTAACAATTTGGGATTAATAAATAACAGTTAGGGTCTAAACTACTAGTGAACTAAAAAAAACTATTTAAAGTAACTTTTTGTACCAAATTGCTCTTAAATTGAAAATTTTTAATTTTAATGACAAATTTATTGTTTTAAATTTTTTAATTTTTTGCCATGGTTTTTAATTAGTATTTAATTAATTATTTTTATTTTTATTTTTTTCTCTAAAAATATTAACTAATTATTGTATTTTTATTTTTACATTGATTTATCATAAAAAATATATTAACTTAATAAACAAAATTTGCTAATTAAATGAAAAGATTAAATTTTTTTGTACTTTATTTAAAACTAAAATAAATTTTTTTTATTGAAAATAAAAATCAGGGTATGATTATACTATTATAATTTATTTATTATTATTATTATTTTTATAAAATTAATAAAATTAATAATAAAAAAATATATAAAGAAAAAAATACACTTAACTATTTTTAAATATATTCTTATCAGTTATTTAACTTTAAATAACAACTATTAACTATAATATAACCAAATAATTATATTAATCAAATTTATTATCTATTATTTGTTATTCGCTAATCGCCACCCATTACTCGCTATCTACTAATCGTTACCCACTACCCACTACCCACTATCCTTTACCCCCTACCTACTACTCCCTTATCCTCTATCGCTATCCATTATTTACCACCTGCTATCTATTACTTATTAAATTTTAATTGTTATACCAAATAAGTCTTAAGTCGTTGAAAAGTCTTTAAACTCAACTTCTATAAGGTAAAAAAAAAAAAACCAAACAAAAAGATTCATACTCTAAATTTAAGATGTCAATTTTAAATTTTAAAATAAATGAAAAAAAGAGTTAAAAAATGCTAACTATTTTTATTGTATAATTTACTTAAAAGTTTTTTT